TTTTGGAGAAGTGCAGTGGCCTGGGGAATCATTTACAATAACTCATATGCGTCAACATTTTAGTTCACAAAGTTTGCAGTGTGTTTTTAACAGAATCCTTGATATAAGTGGAAGTTATAGAGGAAATTTTACATGCTTTTTTTTTAGGCCTGCTTAATGACCATTGCTGAGAAAACAGCAATTACCACAATCTTAGGTTTTCTCATCTATTTAGCATGAAGAAACATCTTGTCAGGATGTAGCCTGCACGTTTTCCATTCATATTTGCACACTAGAAGTCAGAACTCAACATTCTGGCCATATCCAATTCTCCTCAAATTCTGTAGCTGTAGGATGAATGCAAATAAGCTTTAAGTACCATAATTTCACACTATGTCATATGCAGCAATGTTGCACTGTGAATAACTCATTCCTCAAGAAGAATTAAAGATTTATGTATGACTAATTGATTTCTTGATTGTTCCTTTACTGAAAAATAAAAAAAATAAAACATAAAATAAAAACAGACCTGGATTTTTTTTTTTTTTATTCTCAAGGGGGGGGGTTATGTTTTTACATGGGATGAATTCTACTTATCTGGACTTGCTGTCCTGCCAAATATACAGTCCTGGTGCATGGGATATAAATTCTGTATGTAACACCTGCTATCTTTCCACTCAGTGCCATTAACCAAGCTACTGAACATACCCAGGAGTGTCAAGCAGGAGGATGATTTGACAAATATATGTATTAATATCGCAATGTTGACAAAGCTATGTAATAGAGACTGGGATTAGGTCTAGATTGTATTTCAAAGTATTATATAAATGATATGAAATCCACCTGTCCTTAGTCTGTGGTCTGTTTGTGGAAGCAGCAGTGTGACATGTATTTTGTACTTAAGGCTACTACCTTATAGAGTGTGCAGGTGGTTGTTCAAAAATAGTTGATACATTTTTTTTTTATATTTTGTTTTGAGTTTTTATTTCATGCATAGCCCACATAGTTACAAAAGAACACTATTCTGATTGTTTTGAATTCTGCACTTCAAAGGTAACTGAAGTATGAAATGGCTAAAACTAGTACCAGCACTAATCCTTTTTTTTTTTTTACTAATCATTATTGAAACTAAAAACAAATAAAAACTAACCAACTCACTCTAAAAACTACTGTAAATAAATCCTAATGAGTTTGCAAAAAGGCATACCTAAGCCATCAAATAAAATCCTAAACTATTGGCTCTTCCATGTGAAACATGTCAATTATGTTTAAGGAAAATTGGTGTAGAATTATTATTAATGTATTGTTGTGCAGTGTTAGCGTAAGGGT